AAATGCACTATTTTTTAGACTAAAAATCTTTTAATTTTTCATAGTCATACATCTCAATGTTGAGATGATCAATCAAGGGTTTTTCAACATTAAAACTACCTTTTTTCGATGGATTTTTGAGGAGCATTTGTAGTTCTACATTATAAGGTAGCATCCTTATATAAACTTTTTCCTACATGTAAAGCTTTCCCACAACAATATTAACATAGGGTGGTTTTTACCTAATAAGGTGGACTTCAAAACCTCATCTTGGAAAGCCTTCCTATTGATCATCTAAACTTCATGGGGCATGAATATGAATATCCAACTGATTCAACTCAACCTCAAGAAAAATTTATATATAAAAAAAAACAAAAAATTTATTTCAAATCTGATGCTTTTTGAAATACCTTATTTAGATCATCCATTTTTTAGATTTTCAAGTATTTATAAATTTTATTCGATCTTCTTAACTTTTTTGCTTTAAATTTCATATTTAGGGTTGAAATTGAGATATTGTACAAGTTTCTAGCACCTACATCTTTTGATGGGTTTGTAGGTCTTACTATGATTAGTCAGGTAGAAGCCTTATATAAATTGCAATTTTAAAAAAAAATTGTGTAGCTTGGCTTCAAATTGTACTCAACTTAAAGATCTATTTTTTTGAAAAACAATTTGAAATATAAAATAAGAAATAGAGATCTACCATGGTTAACTCTAATTCAAAAACTAAGTGAGATGGTCAGTTCAAACAAATATATCAACAAAGTAGTTATAATTAAAAATTGTTACTATATATGTGTAGAAAATATTTTTGTTATTATACTGTATTATTAAGCCAAGCTTAAGGGTGGATACGTATAGTGAAAATAAGAAGGGACTCTAATTCTATAGAGGTTGTAAGAGACATTCCCACCTTTAAGGGAAGAGAGATAAATAGAGAAAGAGAGTACCCATCTTTTTTAAGAGAGGGAGAGAGGGAGAAATGGAAACGTTCGTAAAATGGGTGTGTGAATTGAAAGAGAGAATTGTTACGTGGTTCAATTTTTTTGGAGAGAGAGATGAAGTGGGGAAATCTATGGGTGAGGTAGATTAAATATCCAACTAAAATGGTGCGTGCCACTTTAAAAAATTGTATATGTAAAAGTTAAATTTTTGGAGAGAGAGATGGAAATGTTCCTAAAATGGTCTGAGTTGGAAGAGAGAATTGTTTTTTCATATAACTCCTTCCTTTCACCAACCTACTAAATTGTATCCTTGAATTCCTAATCCAATTAGATCTTATTCTAATTTTTGAAAATCTTCTCACAACCAACTAAATGAGTGCGTGCTACTTTTAAAATTTATATATGCTAAAATTAGGAATAGAATTGAGAGAGAGAGAGAGAGAGAGGAAGAGAGAGAATCAAGGGGATATATAACATTCCTATCTTTAAGAGATACAAGTGGAGAGGATATTGAAAGAAAGAGAATACGTGGGGGAGAGAGAGTAATGGAAAGAAAATCAAGGACATAGACTTAAGGGAGAGATCCTAAAATTTAGAGAAAGCATTAATGTTTATCTTAAATAATAAGAATAAGTTGTGGTCTGAGAAATTCAACCTCGGACTGCAACTTAACAAAATAAAGTTGTTCAAGAATTTCACCGTCGGATCGTGGGGGCAAACTTGAAAAATAAAATGCGTGTTGACCGACCTTTTTGGTAATTTTTGGTTAAAAATGGAGCATCCCATATTTATGGTACTTTTTTTAGGGTTAATACATAATTAACTATCGAAAAAATGGTATTTCAAATGGAGACTTGGTAACTATGATTGTGAGTAAGCAATACTATACTCAGCAGCTTGTGCAATACACGGTTCGAGGGAGGGGTGAATGAGTGAAAGAAAAAATTTTCATGCAGTGGGGACTGCATTTTTTCATTTACAATCCCCGAGGTATAAAGCATTCATCTTAAAGATGGATGTAAATAGGTGGTTAATCTAAAACAAATTAAAACTCACGATTCAAATGCTTTTTAATAGAATTCATCATCATCATCACTATAGCCCTTTTCCAATTAATTGGGGTCAGTTACATGAATCATGGTTCTCCATTATGCTCTATTAAATGTCATATCTTTAGTTTGGTCATAAGTCCCCATATCTTTTCGGTCTACTTCCAACCACATCCTTTTGCGCCTGCTCCTTGCCCTTTTCAGTCCTGCCATTTGAATTAATTTGCGTCTCCTAGCAAGTGTTGTATTTGGTCGGCGACATGGCCAGCCCACTTAAGTTTATTCTCTCTCATTTTATCGCTCATTGGTGTCACACTTAAATTCTCTCAAATAGATTCATTGCAAATTATATTCCTTATTGTCTTGCTACTCATATATCTTAACATCATCATCTCCGCTACACTCATTATATGGGTATATTGTTTTTTGTCCGCCCAACATTTCGCGCCATAGAGGGTCTCACCATTTTCCTATAGAACTTACCCTTCAACTTTATTGGTATGCGGGGATCACATAAAATTCCAGTTGCACATCTTCACTTTACCCACCCAACTCTAATTTTGTGAGCATCATTTTCCTCTATCTCTCTATTTTTCAGGATTATCGACCTAAGATATTGAAAGTGCAGTTTTTTTTTGTACTTCTTAGTTGTTAATTTTAACTACTTCTTCGTCTCTATTCCTATTATTACTAAATTTGCATTTCATATACTTTGTCTTAGTCCTACTAATTTTAAAACCTTTAGATTCTAAAGTATCCCTCCAAAATTCTAACTTTGTGTTGACATTGTTTCGGGTCTCATTAGTCAAAACCATATCTACGAACAATATGCACCACGATATCTCATCATGTAGGTGCCTAGTTAAGTCATCCATAACTAAGACAAATAGGCACGTGCTCAATGTTTACCCTTGATGTATACCTATTGTCACTGAAAACTCACTTGTCTCTCTACTAGTTATTCGTACACTAGTAACTGCTCCATCATGCATATCTCTCACCAAGTCGATGTAGTGTCTATAGATGTTTCTTTTCCAACATCCACTAAATCAAATCTCGAGGTACTCTATCGTAAGCTTTCTCTAAATCAATAAAAACCATGTGGAGGTGTTTTTCCTTCGCTTTAAACTTCTCAATCAGTTACCTAAGTAGGAAAACAACTTCAGTTGTTAACCTTCCTAGCATAAAACCATATTGATTTTCAAATATACTTGTTTCATGCCTTAGTTGTTCATCAATGACTTTCTCCCAGAGCTTTATAGTATGGCTCATAAGCTTGATCACTTGATAGTTTGTACAATTCTGTATGTTTCCTTCATTCTTATAAATAGGTACCACAATACTTTTTCATAGTATTACATGTTCATTGTTTTCAATACCTTGTTGAACACTTTTATCAATCGGTCAATGCCAATTTCCCTCATGTACTTCCAAACCTCTATCGGGATAATATATGGTCTTAAAACATTTCATATCTTCATCATTTTCAAAACTTCTTTCATTTTCGACATCCTAATCTTACAAATGTATCAATGACCTCCGTCACCACTTGTACCAACAGTCCCTTCTACCACTATGTTCCTATTTTGTTCGTCATTTAATATTTTTTGAAAATAAATTCTCTACCTTTAATTGACCTCATCATCCTTTGTCAATACCCTTGGATCATCACTCTTAATGCATTTAATATGGTTTAGATCCCTACACTTTTTCTCTCTTATTTTTGCTAATTGAAAGATATGTTTTTCACCTTATCTTGTTCCCAATTTATTATATATATTATCATATGACTTCAGTTTAGCTTTATTTACTATTTGTTTAGCATTTTTCTTAGCATTTTTATATTCTTTTAAGTTTCTATTACACTGTCAAGTTTTATAACTTGATCGTTTTTTACTAATGACCTTCTAAACCTCATCATTCTACTATTAGACTTCTTTATCGAAGTTTTTTTTCCGTCTAGATTATCCTAAAACTTATTTTGTCGGTAAGCGTCCATATGGCTAAACGCATCCTATTCTTTTAGACTAACTTCTTTATCCCATTGGGCGGCGGTGCACGGCATTGTTTTTGGGCATGACCTAGCTACCTGTTATTGATTTCTCACTATACCCGGGTTCCGATAAGCAAGTCGCTTCCAGGGAACTATTTTTAATTTTTAAATTTATTTATATTTTCATATTCATTATGTGCACGTTAGACATATCCTTCAAAATTAGGTCCACAAATCCATCTCAAAAATACATTTTTTTGTTGGAGGTGACTCAAAACATGGCCCTCCTAAAAACCGTAAAAACTGTGTTCATGAGGGAATCGATGAAAAGGCGATAGTAAGGGCGAAGAATTCAACACAACATTCTTGAAAAAAGGAACAGAGAGGGAGAGAGGAAGAATTCGACATAGCATTCTTCAAAGAAACGGAGAGATACAGAAGGAGGCGGTAATGGAGAGTGCAAGAGAATGGATAAAGTGCGATGAGAGTGCGAAGAGCTTGATGGATAGGGTATCAATGGAGCGTCCTTCTTTGCTTCTCCCTCCTCCTCTTCACAGAGCTCCTCTCTGCGCTGGTAATGTCGTCGAGATCGTTGGCCCTTCCCCTTCTGCCAAGTCCTACATCTTATTGCAAGTATTCCACTCTCTCCATATATTCTTTCGCTTCCCTCTTTCTTCCATTTTCTATGTTAATGAGTTGTTCCCTTTTACCTGTAATTCATTTAATTTTCTTCTTCCTCTGCTGAATTGTTCCTCATTAATTCACTTTTCAAATTCGGATTTGGTATTTAATGTATTTATTTTGATTGTTGTTATTTGATGAAACCCTCATGGAAGATTGTGAACAAATGGTGATTAAATTGTTTATGTATTGAATGCATTTTTGCTGAAGTTCATATGATTGTTCGATGTAGTTTCATGCTCGTACTCAGAAAATCATCATTTGATTGCATGTGTGTGTGTGGGTGGGTGGGTGTGTGTGTGTTGTGTGTTTATGTGTGGGTGGGTGTGGGTGGTGTGTGTGTGTGTGTGTGTGTGTGTGTGTGTGTGAGAGAGAGAGAGAGAGAGAGAGAGAGAGAGAGAGAGAGAGAGAGAGAGAGAGAGAGAGAGAGAGAGAGAGAGAGAGAGTAGAGTACGTAGTACGTAGTAGTACGTAGTACGTAGTAGTACGTAGTACGTAGTAGTACGTAGTACGTACGTTACGTACGTACGT